GAATTTACTTGTAGATGACGTGCTGAGCTTCGGCGGTGGCGGGGGTCCGTCGCTGAGGGTCCTTCACTAAGTCAATTCCGATAAAAAGGCCAACGCCCCTGAGGGGGGTGAAGAAGGAAACCCGACACACACTCCATCAAACACCCCGTGGCCGCAAGAAGTCAACACTGTCCCCAAACTTCAGTTTAATCTCAAACTTTCGTGCAACACGCCAATCTAGTACTCGCAGTTGTCTCTAGTGTTTGTCATCCAAGTTTTTTCTCAATTATTTAAAAAAAAAAAAGGCTTAAAAACAACCCTTTCATGCTATTTAGTTTCTTAGGACGATAACGATAATAAATGTTTACGTACATCTATGAAAAATGTCCGGCTTTTCAGGAGAGCGTTTTAAATAATTTTCAATAGATCCTTTAGTGCTACTTTAAGTTCCTTCTTTTTATCTTTTGGGCACTGAAATTATCCCAGCTTTATTAACAGAGAAAAAGTATGAAAGTCGGGAAAGATATACACCCAAATGCTAACAGTGGTGATACCTGGGTTCTGGAGTAAAAATGATTTTTTGATTTCTCTGGGTTTTTTATTTTTTTCTGTATAAGATAAAATATAAGGTGTTTTCATTTTGAAAAAATAACTACATGACGACTTCACGATAAACATACCTAATATCTCCTATCAAAGGGTGTTTAGCCTTCTGCTTATTCAGTAACTCGGTAAGATAATTCCCTACTTTCACGGCGTTGCCCTGAAGGTCTTCATGTTCAATTACATCCAGGACAGCCAAACCAACAGCGCACGATACCGGATTTCCTCCGAACTGCAGAAAAAAGACAGATGAGAAAACATAACGGTCGAATTAGCAGTACTGCTTCATCCATGAGAAATTATATATTGAAGATACAATTTCCATAAAATTTTCTCTTATAATCCTAGTTTCTCAGATTTAGACTATAGCACAATTCTATTCATTCAGGATTGAGTGAAAATTCATTCCAAATTATATTCTCCAACACAACTTCTGCTACATAACTTGTCTGAGGAAGTATCAGGGAATTTATTGGCTTATCCAAACAAAAAACAGACATTAAGTTGGGAATTCAGATTTTCAGAGTGTGGCTGAGGGAGGAAATAGGGGTTTCTGTCACTGAAGAGCAGGGGGGAAAACAGCTAAGCAATGACGTTTTCTCCAAAGAATTTATGTCCTTAGAGGAGAATCTTACTTTTAGCTGTAACGAGTCCTGTTACACACACTGCACAAACTACATAATTTTTCCAAGCTTAAAGCTTATGACTTTGGGGAGTAAAACGAAGCAAATAAAATTTCCCAAAGATAAAAATTTAGTATTTCTTATGACAGCCATACGACATTTATAGTACGGAGTCATCTGAACACTTTCAAAGTGTTTTGGAACCCTAAATATGACACAAAACAAAGAAGATCATATCGCCTTTAATGAAAGTACCATAACCCCTCGAGTTTAGCAGGGCCACTGTCTATCATTGGAAAAATTAATAAGAAACTTTCTGTAAAGGGGAAAGATACACAAGGGAAAAATGCAAGAAGCATTTTGCTAGACAGAGTGAAATCTAGTTGGATCAAAGTTTGGGTGGGGTCATTCTTTACTGCATTTGGAGGAAGTGCATGCATTATTTTTCCCTCCTAGCATTCAAGTTGGAGACCAGAATTTACCGTATTGAAATACTCCATCCCAGAGCTGCTGAAGGCTTCCGCAATTTCTTTGGTTGTGACCACACACGCCATGGGGTGGCCGTTGCCCATTGGTTTTCCCATAGTGACGATGTCTGGAACGAAGCCTTCGCCATGCATCTGGAAGCCCCAGAAATGTTTCCCAACGCGGCCAAAGCCTACCTGAACTTCATCAGCTATAAACACACCCCCTGCTCCGTGCACGTATCTGAAAAGCAAAGAAGCAGTCTAATGACTTCAGGTCACCGAGAGTCCCCAAACCCACCCACAAAGATACAGATTATCGAAGACGAAAAAGTGTCGTTAACCTGAAGACTTAGTCATTGTTAAAAACTTTTCAGTACTCCAAACCCCACACAGACATCATTGATTTTACAATATAATCACGTAATTTCTAGATTAGATATAGCTCATATTGTTCAGGTTTGTGCTGCTTAAAGTAAGCTATATTGCAGTATTTTAAGCAAGAAAAGGAAGACTTGAACAATTAGCTTTCAGCGGTGTTCATCTTCAGATGTTTACTAATTGGCAAGTCTTGTGCACCAGCCAGTGAGGGAGGCCGCCAGGCTGGGGCTGCAGCCAAGTCCTGAAATGCCCCTGCTCGGCCACGAGCAACCCTTTATTTGCCGGATCTCGGAAAAGGTTGGGGGAGCGTCCCGGAGTGCTGGGATGGCAGGCACTCGGTGCGGCTGTTTGCCAGCTGATCTGGAAGCACTGCAGTATTTTAGCAACCAGTGTGGCCCTACGGAACCGCCACGGTGCCCTCAGTCTGACCAAGGATGCCCAAGTCAGGTACATACTCTGCCACTTTCTGGAAGTAGCCTGCTGGAGGAATTATTTGTCCGCCACAACTCTGCATGGATTCAGCAATAAAGGCAGCAATCTACACAAGAGAAGACGGGGTCAAAGTCCATCACGCCCCCCTCCTACCCCCTGAAAAAGAGGATCTCTTATAGAGCAGGTTA